TTTACACTTTATATTTGTTTCTTACTGACTCTTCTAACAAATTACACTTTACTATAGTGAGTTTAGAAGTTATCTCAGGCGTCAGCTACGGGGCCGTGCGCGTTCTGCTGACATTGATAAAAGAGTCCACAAAGAGTTTCCCAGTTGGTTTACACGTCGAATACGTAATGACAACAGCCCATACACAGATGAATTCAAAGCTCTTTCTCTCGGTCCGTTAGACCATGCACGAAGGTTTACCGCGTACAATGTCAACGGCTTCAAGTTCTGTACGGTTGGACGTGATCAGGGATTGCTCACACAAAACTCTGGAGTTTGCGGGACATTCGGAACGAGATGTTATGCTAGCAGTAGTGATGGCGATATGCGCTTTGGAGGCGTCACTTACTATGGAAAGCTAATTGACATTATTGAGTTGAGTTACCAGCTTTTCACCGTGACACTGTTCAAATGCTCCTGGGCAAATACGACAACTTCACGGGGACTCGCTACTGACCATTTGGGCATCACCTCAGTCAATTTCTCTAGACTTATTCATACGGGGGCATCTGAAGATGATGAGCCATATATCCTTGCTTCTGAGGCACACCAAATTTACTATGTCGAGGACGAGAAACATAAAGACTGGAATATGGTCGTTCACCTCAAGCCACGGGATCTTTACGATATGGGTGATGGTGACATTATTTACGACAGTGAACCCTTCCAACCCTCGAATTTTGAAGACTTCTTTCCTCAAGGAGATGATAATTTGCCACTTATCAGGTACACGTCTTTTCTTAAATTATTTAAATAATTAACTACTAATTACTAATTTTTTCCAAATACAATATAAATTTAACAAATTTTTTTAAAATGTGTCCTTTCAGGCCGGATGATGATGGAGAATAGCAGCATCCAAAATAAATTATTTAAAAAATTTTCGTCCATAAATACATATGTATAAATTAAAATTCGTACAGTTTTTTTAAAAATAAAAAAATTTTCATTTGTAGCGGTTACATAACCGCTACAAATTTTTTTTCATGAAATTGTAATTTGTAGCGGTTATCAACCGCTACAAATGTATTTTCACGAAATTGCATTTGTAGCGGTTAATAACCGCTACAAATGTATTATCACGAAAACTTTACGAAATTGTAATTTGTAGCGGTTATTAACCGCTACAAAATACATATCTGTAAATTAAAATTCGTTCAGATTTTAAAAAATAAAAAATACTAAATTTCTAGCGGTTAATAACCGCTACATATATAACCGCTACGAAATACTAGCACTTATATATACGCTAGAAAATGAATAACAGCTACAAAATGCAATAAAACGCTACAAAAACACCGCTACAAATGTGTTGCTGATCTCTATAAATACCATATCTTCTCTACATTCATTTACTCCATCTCTTTTCCTTCCTCTCCTATTCTTCTTCATAATTCTCTCTTTTTTTCTTACTATCTCATATGGTGGTTTTTTTCTCTTTACTCTATGGTAAGTGAATTTTATTTTATAATTCATTGTATCTTTTATTTGTTTTTATTTAAAATTTACTAACATATTTATTTCTCCTTTCCTTTCAGATTTTTCTTCTCCACACTTGTCATGCCCTCCTCAACTGATTCAAATACTCATCAACCTAATACTATAGGTTCAATATTACAAAATATATCATCTTCAATTCAACTATCTTATTAAATATTCAATTAAATTATCTTATTAAATTAAATTCACTTCTTTTGACACATTCATCATTTAATTACATATTTTTATTACAAAATTTAAATATATAAAATGTAACATATAACTAATTATACAAATTAACAAAAATTCTTCAACATAATTTATTTAATGGTTTTTAAAATTATAATATGAAAAACCATAAATTTTTTTTCTGGCACGGTAAACATTTCTAGCGGTTCCGAACCGCTAGAAATATTTCGTCAAATTTAAATTTTGCGCCAAAATTTCTAGCGGTTCAAATCGCTAGAAAATTTTCCCCCGCCATTCCTAAAATTCAATTGGCGGGAAAATTTAATTTCCCAAACATTTCTAGCGGTTATTCCAAACAGTTCTAGCGGTTCTATAACCGCTAGTAATTTTCGCGCGCTACTGAAATTATTTAATTCCCGGCAAAATGGATTTCGTTTTGCAGGTTTCTAGCGGTTATAAAACCGCTAGAAATTTTTTTCCGGGAACTTTTCTAGCGGTTTTATAACCGCTAGGAATGTGTCTCCTTCAGATATTTTCTAGCGGTTAGAAACCGCTAGAAATTTTCTATCGTTTTGACCATGATGTGTAGCGGTTGCGATAACCGCTAGAAATTTTTTCTTGCACCTGTTTTTCTAGCGGTTTCCTTAACCGCTACAAATTTGATTTGTTGCGGTTAAAACCACTAGAAATGTAACACTCTAACCGCTAGAATTAACATATTTTTTTGTAGTGTATCAAAGGTTGTTAATGTAATTGTATGAGTTGTCATTAACAAATGATTGTGACAGGTTGCCATGAAGGATGGCAACTTTAAGTGGGAAGCATTTGTTTTGTTACCTCCGTATAAGGGGAGAATTTATTAATGCTGTAGAAGATGAAATGTAATATGTGAGAGGTGGTGTAAGAATAAGAATGATAAAAGAAAGCACATCATATGAAGAATTTAGAACAATGATAGTATCAATTATAGGAAAAGAAAGTAATAGAATAGTTATAAAATTCATAGTAACTTTTGATAAGTGTATATTTGTAGACATTGTAGATAACAAAGGAGTGAAACATTTAATTAACTTCAATGGTGATAGTAGTCATGTATGCATAGGAGAAAATAGAGATGAAAATTCACAACTAACAAAGGATGTTCTAATAGAAGAGCAATATATGTAAGTTTTATTATTTAAATTTCAAAGTAATATTATCTATTGTCAATTGTTGTGTTTAAGTTGTTATTACAGTGGTCAAATGTTGTCATTAATAACCCCATGACTTGTCATGTTGTCTAGGATGGAAGACTTGTTCAAAAGTTCAGATGCATTGTTTATGTCTCCACCCAGTGTGTTTAGTGAAGACCTACTATCATTGCCATGTGGTTCACAAATAATGCCAACTCCAATTCCTGAAATGAATCCAACAAAGTGGAAAGATTTGGTTGCTGGAAAAGGACAAATTTTTTCTAAAACAGTGGCTCTTAGGCAAGCACTATATAAGAACCTCATTGCTAAGAAGTTTTCATACAAATTTGTCAAGAACAATCAATAAAAGATTATTGTGAAGTGTAAGGTTGAGGAATGCTCGTGGTACGTGGGTGAATACTCAATGGGACAAAACTAAGATGCTAAGTTCTTAAGAAGTGAGCATGTGTATTATACACAGAACAGCTTGGTTGTATCTTACTCTAGAAGGTCAAACTTAACATCATCAATCATGATAGATTTTTTGAGGTATAATATAACAAGAATGCTAATAAAATTAGAAGAGATTTGTACAGGGAATATGGGATATGACTGAATTATAGTCAAGCATATAGGGGCAGAGAGAGAGCATTAAGAGAAATACATGGTCATGCAGATGATTCATAGATGGTCATTCCTTGGATTTGTGAAAGGTTTATTGAAATTGATCCAAACACAATTGCTCGATGAGAAGGCTTGGATAGCAATAGATTTGAGAGGATGTTCATTGCTTATAGATGCTCAATTAATAGATTTTAGAAGACTATCAAAATATACTTTATACAGATGGATGTTATCTAAATGGTCCATATATGGGGACATTGATTTCAGCTAATACATATAATGCGAACAATGAACTGTTTCTATTAACATATATTGGTCCTTGGGACCTCTGTGTAATTTTTCCTTTTTATTTTTTGGGGTATTATAAACACTTTCCACTCTAATATTGCCCATGTCATGTGCACTATAACCTAGCTTCTATATTTTGTTCCGAGGCAGTAGCTTCCTTTTTAGACTCCACTTGGATCAAAACTTCTTATTAACACCCACACACACTTACATGTACATTTTTTCAGCCGTGCTTGTTATTTTACACTACTTTCTATCCTTAATATAAGATTTTATTTAGCTTTTATTTTGATTCTAAATATATATCCTCAATCCACTTTATTTGTCATATTTATTTATTTTTTTCTCAAGATAGTCCTTGTAATAGTAATAGTTCTAACCAATACATTTGATTAGTAATGATATTTTAGGAAAGACAACACATATTTATTACAAATAACTAATTTAACTAGTTTTCTTAATTTACTCAAATTAGTCAACTAATTCTTATAGTAAGGACCGAAGATAGTATTACCCCTAATTCGTAATATAAGATTTAGTTAACTAGCTAGGTGAGATTAAGGAAATTACTAAATTATTTAATTATAACATACTATCTAGGTCTTTAATACAAAAGTCAATTTGGCATTTAATTTGATCCTAAATATAAGATTCAAATCTATTTCATATTTATAAGGTTTCATTAAATGATAGTTTTAGTTGATATATATGATTACTAAGGATATTTTAGAAAAAATAATACCTATTTATTGCAAATAACTAACTTAGCCAATTTTCATAATCTACTCAAATTAGTCAACTAGCTTTTATATTAAAAACTGAAGATAGTATGTTATATGATTTCTTTAAAATATTTATATGTATCATTATATTAGATGTCGATAAGTAAAACAAATTAGTTTGGAAAAGTAATAAATATAAATATTTTAAAGTAATTTAATAATTTTCTTTTTAAATTAGTTAATCATATATCAAAAATGGGACAAGACATATATATATATATATATATATATATATATATGAGTTTTTAAAGCATGCAAAACGTACCACCGGAAAGTTCAAGACATGGGCTTAAAACTTAGCCTTAAAACTTGACCCACGTTCTGGTCACTCAGAAGGCCCAATGGTCGGCTTGAGGAGCAGAGCTTCTGTGAATTAATGACTCGTCTTCCTTACCACGTTCCAGTTCCCTCGGAGAGTTTAGTGTTTCTCAGTTCGCGCCTCCAAAATCACCCCCTCTGTGGTTTGAGGTTCGAAGCTTTCGATTCTGTTTTTAACCGCCATGGTCAGATGCATACTTTCCAAAAATGTCGTCATTTTCTCATCCATTTCTTCTTCGTCATCGTCAGTTCGTCCTCTCCTCTTGAAGTTTTGTCACTGCTCTAGCTCGTTGAATAGCTTCTCATTACTTAGACGCCGTTATCATGTATCCAGAAATATACCAGTCCCAGTATGGTGGGATTTTGAGAATTGCCATCTACCGTCTGATGTGAATGTTCACAGAATTGCTCACTTCTTAACGGAGGCAGTTAGAGGCAAGGGCATCATGGGGCCTCTTCAAATTAAGGCATTTGGTGACGTTTGTCAGCTCTCGAGGGTCAACCAGGAGGCTCTCGCGTCCACTGGGATCAAAATCATCCACGTTCCTAAAGGCTGGTCTTTTTTTTTTTTAAATATTTTTTATTTGTTGGAATTTGTTTTTCCTCCCCACTTGCACTGAGTGAAACACATAGCATAAAATAGTCCAAAGCCGATCATTTCATGGAACTATCCGAATAGTGCGTGTACATTACTGCATTTTTTTTGATATTCTATCACGCTGTTGCTGGCAGGCTGATTTCACTATAAATCTCTTGATCTGTCTAAATATGATTTTGAGTTTGAAAAGCAATGAACAAAAGCATGCTTTTGGCTGCGAGTGAGTGAGATAGGAGGGGAGTTATGGTCCTTTTCTGCATCTCTGTTGTTATGCTTACATTTCTTACGGCAATGTTCCTGTTGTATTGTTCACTATTTGTTTACATTTTAAAATCATCTTGTCTCTAAGTCTAACTACATGGTTGCAGGTGGAAAGAATAGTGCTGACAGATCTCTTCTTATTGACCTTATGTTTTGGGTTTCCCAAAATCCTCCTCCCGCGCATTTGTTTCTAATTTCGAGTGATAAGGATTTTGCTGAAGTATTGCATCGTTTGAGAATGAGTAATTACAATATCCTAATTGCTGGTATGAAGACTTCTTCTCTTCTATGCAATGTAGGAACTATAGTGTGGCACTGGAATTCATTACTTAGAGGAAAAAATCTTGATGGAAAACATTTCAATCATCCTCCTGACGGTTTGTATGGTGGTCACAATGATGCACCTCTTGAAGACGCTTTCCCCGAGTTGCGCCCAATTCCAAAGGCAGTTGTGCGGCAGGTTCATCAGATATTGAGATTGTATCCAAATGGGGTCTCTTTATTATGTCTTAAAACAGAATTGGAAAGAACTGGTATCTCCTTGGATAAAGATTACTATGGATATAAAAGATTTTCCTATTTTATTTCATCAATTGTGCGTGTACATCTTCAGCTTGTACCTGGTAGAGGACTTATTGTACATCGCATCCCTGAAGAATCTCCTGAACCCACTAAAAGCAGTTTTGTACCATCAACAAAATTAGTTGAAAATGAGGAGTGGAATCATGTGCCTACTTCAACAGAGTTAGATGCTACTTCTGAAAAGTCAAATAATGATGACAAATATGCTATGCCAACAAAAAAGGAACCTGATGCAGCTTGTCACATTGGTGGAAGCATGGAAACTCACAACAATAGTTTTAGTAAACATCTAACTTTCTTGGGTTGGATCAAAAGTTGGTGGCCATTGAGGAAAAAGTTTGTAAACATGCATACTTCGACTGCTCGTGTGAATGAGATGGTTAGTAATGCTACAGAGCCCGAGTTATTGGGTTGGAAACAGACAGTTAGTCATGATGATAGTCATGATAAAGAGACTGAGATGTCAAATTTGAAACAGAGGGTTAGTCATTCAGAAGGGCTGCATTCGTTAAAACAGAGACAAATGGCTAGTCAATTTAAGGAGCCTGAGTTATCAGAACTGAGACAGACAGTGGATCATTCTGGAGAGCAGGATTTATTTCATTGCAGCTCCTTTTGGAAGGAAATGGAATCTTTTGTTTTCACCTCCAGAGGAGCAATTATTGTCTTCCACTCAAGAAGCAGGTCAGCTGGATAATAGTCCTTGACAGCTCATTTGAAAAAATTTATGCTATGTGTGTTTCTAGAGATAATTGCAAGACTTTCTCCTTTTCGTATGACATTCATTATATAGCCATGCGGTGAAAGAGTCTCTAAGTAATAATATGCATTATGGTTTTTGTTTTTGTTTTTTTTAATTTTTTACAGGAAGGACATGGCGCTAAGTTTTAAAAAGTATGGACCCCATGTTCTCCACTCTCTCAGTGAAAGTGATCTCCTTCTATTGGTGGATTTGTTAATATCTGAGAAAAAATGGTTAGAGGAAAGGCCTTCTCAGACTTTTCCTTTCCGTGCCATTCCAAGCAGAACAACACAAAGTAAATTGCAAAAATCATCAGAATGTCAATTTGATAAAAACCAGAGTATTCCTCATGACGTGGTTTCTTCACCTGCCACTCAAAAAGGGCATGCTGAGAAGTCTACAACTGACATGTTAGCAGATGTTCAGAAACTTGTGAGTGAGATCTTGAGAGATCAATCAAATGGGTGCAATATGGGCCTGATACCAGATCGTTTTCTGGAGAAGTATGGCTATCATTTAGATTTTGGGAAACTTGGTTATTCTAAGTTATCCCACCTCATACGTAGCCTGCCTGGAGTGGAAACAGAGGATGCTTATTTCTTTCCTGCAAATCATGGCATACGTGCTTCTGGTAAGGAAACTTCAATTCTCAAAACCCAAGAGACAAAACCGAGTGATGTAGTGTACCACTACTCAGGGAATGAGTTCTGTGATTCAAACTCTGAAGATGATCAGCAAGACTCCACATGGGAGGAATTAGGACCTGCTACTGTCAGGGATTCCAACAAGAGTGACCTCGTATCAAAACCAAGGCAGAAAGCAATAGAGCTGAAGAGCGCAATAGATCTTGATTATGAGCCTGATCTCTCTGATGATGATTCTTTCGTATCTGGAGGAGATAACTCCTGTTTAACTCAATCAGAGTATGATCACTTCTCTGCTGCAAATAATGGCATATGTGCTTCTGGTGAGGAAACTTCAATTCTCAAAACTCAAGAGACAAAACTAGGTGATGTAGTGCACCACTATCCAGAGAATGAGTTATATGATTCATTCTCTGAAGATGACCGGAAAGACTCCCCATGGGAGGAATTAGGACCTGTTTGTGTCATCAATTCCAACGACAGTGACCTAGAATCAAAACCAAGGCAGAAAGCAATAGAGCTGAAGACGGCAATAGATCCTGATTATGAACATGATCTCTCTGATGATGATTCTTCCGAATCCGGTGGAGATAATTCCTGTTTAACTCAGTCAACCGGGGAAGGGGCGCCAAAACTTAACGGGAAAGATGGTTCTTTGCAAAATCTGGACTTAATGTATGGCAGTCAAGAAGGAGGCGATAGTGTGAATCCGAATGAAGCCAATACAGTAGGCAATGGTCTGACTGATGGTTTAAATCCATCAAGAATTTCCACTCCGGCTGCCAGTTCAGGAATTCATTCAGGGGGCAATAAGGAGGGGGACGAGCCTAAGAAAAACGGTTCATTTGATGCTGAACCAGTCTCACACAAGGATAAGGAGCTGATGCAAGAGATATTACGATGCTTGAAAAGGGCAAATGACTTGAAGATGCCAAATTGAGGAATTCCAGGAGTTCACAGTATCTGAAGTGGGGTTGGATCCTATTACTTTGGAATCGAAATTATGGGATTCTTGTGACTTAGGATATTAATATAGCCAGATGGACTCCTAGTACTTGAGAATAGAAATTATGGGACTCTTGAGAATAGAAATTTTGTATCTTTAAGTCTCTTGAGAATAAAAATTTGGCATCTTCAAGTCTGATGCCTTGTTGCCAAGGAAGGCAATTCTCGGAGTTCAGACATTTAGAAGCTGGGTCCTTTTACTTCAGAATGGAAATTATGGGATTTTTGTGATTTAGGATTACTTCCATACTCAGATGGGATCCTAGTACCTGGAAGCAGAAACCATGTACTTAGGGTTACTAACAGAAACTCAGATGGCAGCATGCTTCTTTCCATCACGCACGTTGGACAATTTCACTGGCCATGGTACTAACCGTTAGGTTGAGGTTGGTTCATGTCTGTGAAATGGTTGCTCTTATGAGATTATGATTCTTTTGAAGATATTTTTTTAAGTCTAGGCCACAAAATTACATGGGTGTGCATACCCGTTTAGAGTTTATTGACGTCCTACCACTTTGATGTCATTACTATAGTACTCCCTCCTGTTAGTGGAGCATGACTTTTGGGAGTTGATGATCCATGAGTTACTACAGAGATGATTTACAAGGCTTAAAAAGACTTTGGGAATTAAATTGCAGATTGAGGGATGAAATTAATCATTTGTATTGCTATTTTAGGGCTTGTTTGGAGTTCCGTTCAAAAAGCACTTTTAAGCAAGTTCATATAAGTCAAGACAAACTCTCCTCATATACTTACCTCATATTTCGTAAATCACGTTTAAAAAGTTATTTAAAAATCATTCCAAACAAGCCTTTAGTAACAATATAACAGTATCAAAATATTAATGTAAATATAAATGAATCGTATTATTTATTTATAAGTCATATAGCATTTTGGCTAATTCTTAGACCAATGCGTGATCTTACCTCTACCTTAATTAAACCATTGAAAACTGCACGAGGGAAAATTAGATATGTTGACTAAGACAAATTCTTTTAAGCTCCCCAAAAAAGACAAAAAACAAAAACAAAAACTCGATGCCTAGCCAACCTGAGTTGCTCCACAGTGTTTTCCCGAATCAATTACCAAAAAAGAAAACAAGCAAGGGACAAGATGGAGTGAGAGTTACAATGAAAAGCACAAGGTCGAGAGTCTAGGAGGCTGGATCAATTTTCAGGGAAAGCAAGTGCTGGGTGTATTTGGAACAGATTATAAGTAGTTTTTCAATCGTGAGTTAAGAAATTTGAGATTTCAATATCAATAGCAAACAAGGCCTATATGGATATTCTTGCACTGATACATTACCTCCAATACCTATAGATTATAAATAAAATCTTATAATTAGGACAAAAAATAATATCATGAACAGGTGGGAAGAGCTGCTGCTTCTTTTTTCTTCTTCGCGGTGTCTGCAGCTCTCCTACTCATACATTTGAAATTTTGAAACCTCGCATTCTTCGGATTCTCACAAGTCAGAGCTACATTTCCACGGGACATTTAAAAATGAAGGCCAAAAAAAAAAGAAAAAGCAAAAGCCTGCCTTTTTTATTTTTTATGTTTCCCCAGCAAAAGCCTGTTAAACTTTAGCTCAGGTGCGCATATCTACTCTCATCTTAAAAATTTAAATGAAGGACCTTTCTTGTTTTAACTATTAATTAGGGAAAATTACACTCAGGTCCCACACAAGAGAATTAATTCACAAAAGTCCCTCGAAATCCCAAAATAACTCCCAAGTCTTCAGGGACCTGTGTCTAATAAATTGTAATTGTGAAATTACTTATTTACCTCCATTCATTTACAACCCCAACAGTGGCTGTTGACAACCTGAGGAGAAGTGGTTAACAACCTCGACAGTGCCTCTGGTATCCCACAGAGTGAGTTGTCAGGGGCACTGCCGAGGTTGTTAACAACTTCTCCTCGGGTTGTCAAGAGCCACTGTTAACCACTTCTCCTCGAGGTTGTAAATAAATTATTGCAATAAAATTAATGGGGTAAATAGGTAATTTCATAATTTCAATTTATTACACACAGATCTCTAGGGACTTAGGAATCATTTTGGAATTTTCAGGGACTTTTTATCAATTAATTGTCTTGTGTGGGATCTATATGTAATTTTCCCTATTAATTACACTGTTATTAAGATTATTATTAAAGCTATGCTCAAAAAATTCAGGAGAAAGGAAAACGGAGAGGAAAGAAAATGTTATGATCTCCTTTATTTGGATAAACGAGAACAAAGGGGGAAAATGAACAAATATAATCTTCCATCTAAAAATATATTATGTTTAAAATTAAATTAGATACTGTGATGATTTAAAATACATTATTTAATAAAAATATGCTACTATATTTTAAAAGAAAAATGGTATTTTTTAATTAAAAAATTAAAAATGGATAATTTTGTTTAAATTACATATAATAAAAAATTGAATTATACATTATACAACATTTTAAATAAATGCTAAAAGTATAATATAAAAAATGAAATATCGAGGGCATGATGGGAAAAATTTGTTTTTTCCGTACGAAGAGGAAATGAAACAGTTTCCGACTCTGATACCTGATTTTATTTCTAATATTTCTTGGGAAAATGGCACTGAGGTCTCACGTAAGACAAAATATAGCAAAAAATTCCCTTCAAACTTAGTAATTGTTTAGAAGTCCTAAAGGACCTAATTGTAATAAGTGAAAACATGAAAAGACTATATTATCCCTGCCAAACATGTTTAATTTCATCCAAATTTCCTCTAGGTTTTGTCGAAAGTGAAAGACTCCAGAACTGTCCCACCGTTGCCGCTTAGATTGCATTCTCAGCCTCTGTTTTCCATGACGTTTACTCTCAACCTCTCCATTGTTCTCAGCACCGCTTTCACGTTCGCGTTCAAAAACCATTCTTAGCGTGGTTTTCGTGTTAACATTCAAAGACCATTCTCAGTGCCTATTTCACGTTCTGTGAAGGTGTGTATGAAAGCTTGGTTGCTGGCGTGGTTTCATTTTGCAATGGGGGAATTGATGCTTGTTTTTTAAAAGCAAATTTTCAGTGAAAGTAGGTATGAAAGGTTAGCTTTCTGGTATGTTTTCATTTTGGCTTGGCAAATTACCACTTCTCCTTCATCGGTAAATGTTACTGTTTGTGGAATTGTGGATCCATTTTGGTTTTTCTTGTATCTATGAGCACTTTCACCTCCATTATTGCTGGTTTAATTTCTCATGTACATATCACAGTGCTATATACAAGGCAATTTTTTTCCAAGGAAAATGACCTTTGCATTTAAGCTTATATATTCATTATATTGGTGTCTTCTTATTTGACCTTTGCATTTGTCTTTGGATTTTATAATTATGAAATAATGATAAGAGTAACAGCATGATACAAAGGTGTGTGCTTTGTAATATCCTCACAAAGTGTGAATTGAATAGAAAATCAAAATGTACAACTGCTGTTTTGTTGGCCCGTTGAGAAGAAATAAAAGTCCACCTTTAGGCATACTTGGTCATCAAATCAAGTTATTAGTATATATATGTGGGAAGGAATAAGCAGATTTCATGTCATTTGAACAGAAAAAGGAAATTAAACAGCATTGGAGATTGAATAAGTGGCGTTAGTTGATAATTAAGATAACTTAGACACACACACATTGTTATTGTTGTAATTATTATTAAATGTGTTTTTTTTATCCCACCTAGAAGGAAATAATGATAACTGATTTTTAACACTGAAAAGAAGATGAAAACTAATCTTTAGAAGCTTCGTCAATAGTGATTAATGGCAAAATCATAAACAAGCCATGCCTGTTTCTTTGTAGATATTATGCTTACTTTTTTTTACTGACAAATATTGTGCAATATGGTTAGTTTAAGTTCCTTTTAGTGTCCTGTTGACACATGACATATAGTTAAGTTAATGTTCTCTTGTTTTCTTTTTTTCGCTTTTTCCCTCTTTGGTCTAAATGCAACTATGTAAACAGATGCTAACAAACATGTTCATTCAATAGATGCTCTGTCCCTTGTTACTGAATACTGTATTAGTTGTCACTAGATGCTGTGTCCCTTCTCACTGGATGCTGTGTCCCTTGTCACTGGATGTTCTGTCCCTTATCACTGGATGTTGTGTTGTTAGTGATTCTTTTTTATTATGTGTTTTTTTTTTCCAGATGAATTGTTTCCATATGATGCTACGTGCTGTTAAGCCAGAATTGTTTGCCAATGAGAACAAAATTGAGAATGAAGTGAAATGGGTTAAAGTTTATGTGCAGAATGATACTTGAGTGTAGTTGTTTGATTGTGTTATGTTGTTTGTTATTGTTCACAATAACAATTGCATGATGCTTACATATTCAATTTCCTTGATAGTGATTCATGTGGAGTTCATGTCCTCTCTTGGCTACAAGAGTGGGAAGGCACTGTTCGTGATGATACAGGATATACAATGCCACAATACTCCAGTAATGAACTACAAGAGTTAAATGTTGGCTATTTGTGGTGGTTGGTTACCCATTCAAATAATGAACATGAAGATGAAGTGATGTTGTTGCTATTGGACTACAATAAGAGTAAGAGAGGAGATAGAGTAGTTAATTAATTTTTTATTCTGTTAGGCCATGATATGTGTTGTAAGATGACTGGCAACTAAGGGTGTTAGCACTTAATGGTCAACAGGTCATTTTGTAACAAACTGATCAAATTATGTTTATAATATTATTACCTTTTTCATCACATGTTATAGTACCAATTTCTTTAGGTTTTATTACATTTGTAATAATATATGTTTTATATCTTTATTGATATCAACAAATTTATGTAATATTAATATTATAAGAATTATGTTACCAATATTACTCTGTACAGAGATATTGACAAGTGGGAGTGTATAGATCAACAGCACCCAGCGTATAAATTAACAACTTGAGTTATCTAAAATAACAAGTAATATAACAAGAGTTGATGACAAGTGATATAAGAATTTCATAACAAATGAATGTGTGGATATTAACAATTGATATTCAAAATTTTTACAACTGAAGGTGTCATTTATTTATAATGTTAAATAATATTTACATTAAAATATAATTATTAAGAAGAAAGTGTTACTCAAATTTATGTTCAATTGACAAGGGACAGTGTCTTCATTAACAAGTCACAGTACTCCATTGATAAGTCATAGTGCGACCATTGACAAGTTACAGTGCAACCATTAACAAGTGACAGTGCGATCATTGACAAGGGATAGTGCCACTATTAACAAGTTAGTGTGCCACCATTGATAAGTCACAGTGTCATCATTGACACTTCATTAATAATGATTATATATGACAATATAACCAAAATATAATATAACAGAGTAATTGAAAATATCATATAATACTAAAATAGGTTACGTAATTTAAATTCACATTGTTGACAACTTATGTCAGTAAATTAATTGACAAGTCATACTGTAATGATTGACAAGTCATAACATGTCTAATGATAATACAGGGTGCAGGTAATGACAACTAAAATGACAGCAGAATCTAACACGCTAATTCATAGCCAACTTTCATTTACACCTTAATATACATGAAACTACACCTATATCACAACCCATCCCAAAAAAAAAAATAGGGATAGCATGTAATTACGAAACTAATTATTGGTTTGTATTCATTTACAAAAAATTTCTTTCACACCCATTCACAAAATATTCCCTTCAATAATCAAATCCTTCTATTTTGTGAAATTCATTTATGGTGTAGGTGTTAGGATCATTTCAACAGCACAAAGAATCGATGGTGGCTCTCTAATCTCATCAAATAAGGTAGGTAGAGACATAGAGAATCCATTGACACCTCCAAATAATTAATCAATCCTGCAGGAAATGACAAGTCAAGGTGCATACATTGACAAGTTGGTAGCAAGACAGTAACAACTGACATACTAAGAAATGATAATAACAGTTTTGTTAAACTAAATTTACACATCTTGCTCCTCCATTGCATTATCCCTTGTTGCTTCTATGTGGTCTTTATTTTCATTCTCTTCTACATACACATGATCACTTTTTTCACTGAATTTTATCAAATGTTCAACCCTATCATCATCTACCAACTCCACAAATGTTTTTTTTTAATCAAACACAACTAAGAATTTCAAAAGAAATGAATTACTTTTTTTCCCAACAATTGATGATATAATTTCCTTTAATTCTTCATAACTTGTGCCCTCCTTTATATTTGTTGTTCTTACACTACCTCCCATGTATCTCATATTATCTTTTCCATCATTTATAAACTTTCTCCCTATGTAAACAAAGCAAAATAGGTGTTTTCCAGACATACTCGCCATTAGTAATATAAACCTGCATCAAGAATGACGCAACTATTATTGACAAGTCAAGCAGCTACATTGACAACTGTCACGGTACGCATTGACAACTATCGCGGTTTGATTGACAACACAATATCCTATTTTGTCCTAAGGGTTTTTACCCACACTAACCTTTATTTTTTTTCTTCCTTTGCCACTAAATTAATATCAAAACAGAGTAAAATCACCCACAATATACCCAAAAACATAGCATCCATGATCATTCTACAAACCCAACTTAAATCACCAACACACACCAACAAAAACACAGCTTTTTCATTGATTAACTTGTAAATCCTAGACAAAAAACAAATGCTTTGCAGTACCAAAGGTAAAAACGATTTCCTGATTTTCCATTCCCAAACACAATCAATCTGTCAAGAAAAGTAGGAGAGGAAAGGAAAGAAAGTTTCAAACCTGACGATTTGTGGAGATTCAAATGGAAGCTCTTTGTAGTTCACTAATAGTAATGGGAAGATATTTCATCATCAATGGCTCCTTCCTTCTTTTTCCATGTCCTCTCTCTCAATCACAACAGATTCATTGCGCGGGAAACTCACTCAGCGTCTTTGCTTCTGATATGCTGGGGCAAGAGAGTCATTTTAACCTTCTGAAATTTGCAGCCAAGTCCCTTTGGGATTTCAGAAGAATTATGAGATTTCAAGAGACCTTTTTACTGTATATTTGGTTTTGTGGGACCTTAATGTTATTTTCCCATATTTCTTTCGTTTCAGTTTTTCTCCCCCATCCAAATGGAGAGAAAGCTTACTTCTCTTGTTATTTTTCTTTTCTAGCTCATTTTTCTTCGTTCAAACCGACGATAATAATTTTGAGTCAATTGCAATTTTAACTCAGTGCAATTTAACCACTAAATTTTAACTCAATGTAACTTGATCTTATGGTTTTAGTTCCTAAGTTTCATCCCATGAAATATATAATTTTATTTTCTAAAATTTAAGAAATAAAGTTTTAAATGTTTAAAATTATAAGGATTAAATAATTAAATTTTTTTCATTGTTAGTTAATCTGTATTTTCAGGCAACCAAAACGCACGTTTCGCTTTTGAGTGCTGCTTCCCCCCTTGGCGGCTCCTCTCCTGGGAAAAAACCCGCAAGGCGGCAAACTCTGTTTTAGGGCTTCAGAGGTCGAAGTTCGGCAACAGAGCTTCAAACACCAAAAATTGTTTTCACTTCACTGCAAATTCTGGGTTTTGCGATACTATACGATAACACTTCACTGAAACACTAGTGACACCGTGAGATTTGCGAGCTGTGATATTCAGTAACAGTTTTGCCATTTCCGCCGCCGTATTACTTGCACACTCATCTTCTCTTTCATTCTGGTTTCAAATTCCAATATGATCAAACTCCTCTTCCCTAAAAATGTCACTATCATATCATCTTTTCCTTCCTCCTCACCATTAGTTCGTCCTCTTCTCCAAATTTGTCACTTCTCAGCCTCGTCATATAATCGTTCATCCTTAAGACCCGATGATGACGAAACACGAAATGAGCGAAATGTACCAATTTCAGTGTGGTGGGAGTTCGATGGCTGTAACTTACCTGCTGATGTCAATGGTTACAGAATCACCCACTGCATAACAGAAGCTCTTAGGGCCAAAGGGATAAAGGGGCCACTTCAAATCAAGGCTTTTGGTGATGTCCTGCGACTTCCAATTGCCAATCAGGAAGCTCTCTCTTCCACCGGGATAAATCTGGTCCACGTTCCCAATGGTTTGTCTTGCATCCTGTGTCTGTAAGATTGATCAACGTTTACATTTTTGCTTCAAACTTTTTAATTAGCACATCACATGAATAATCAAAAGCTGATTATCTTATGACATTCATTCTTGCGCGGTGTGTCATACTTATGCATCTTCTATATTGTTTGCGTCATATCCATAATATTCCTTTATTTTGTAGTTGTTATTTCGAACTATAAACCATCCTATCTATCCAAATTTATATTTTTTTCAAGAAAAAAGGCATTTGCTTGTTGAGATTATTACCAATTAGAGGCTACAGAAAAGTTTGAATTTGAAAAATAATGAATCAAAATAGTCCTGTTTAGGTAGCAAGAGAGCTTGATTGGAGTTGTCTGTTAGATAACTTTCCACTGCTTCTTGTTTGTTGTATCGACCCTTGTTAGCTCTTTTGAAATATTCTTATCTTTCACTGCTTGATTTCAGGCGGAAAAAATCCTGCTCACGGATCTCTTCTTGTAGAACTTATGCATTGGGTTTCCAAAAATCCTCCACCGGCTCATCTGTTTTTGATTACTGATAATAGGGTTTTTGCTGATATGTTGCACCGTTTAAGATTGGATAACTACAACATCTTGCTTGCAACACCAACAAAGGGTCCGAAAGTTCTGTGCAATGCAGCCACTATAATGTGGCATTGGGACTCATTAGTTAGAGGAGAAAATCTTGATGGAAAACACTTTAATCATCCTCCTGATGGTTTGGATGGTTCTTGGTACGGGCACCACAAGGTGCCTCTTGAAGACCCTTTCTTAAATGGTGAGCAGTCACAAATTGAGGAGGTACCTATCTCAGATTTGGAATTACGTACAGTACCAAGGGCAGTTGTGAGGCAAGTTCAACAAATATTGAACTCATATCCAACAGGTATCTCTGTATCAGACCTTCGAGCAGAGATAGCAAGAGCTGGTATTTTCTTGGATAAAGACTACTATGGTCATAAAAAGTTTTCCCGATTTCTCTTGTCAGTGGCAAATGTACAACTTCAGCCTGGACCTGATAAATTACTTTTTGTTCATCCCATCCACCAAAAATATCCTGGAACCTTGGATATCAGTTCCGAATCATCTACAGCACCTTTTTATGGCGAGGAGTTGAACCAGGTGGCTACTTCAAAGTTAAGTGGTAAGGCCGAAAAGGTGGTTGGGGATGCAGATGTGAATACTGTTGATGGTGAGAAGTTGAATCAGCAGGCTACTTCAAAGTTAAGTGGTGAGGTGGAAAAGGTGGTTGGGGATGCAGAAGTGAAACCGTTAACAGCCTCATCTCAGGTCCCAGAAGAGGTCCAACAGGTTCCGGATGTGGTTAACGCACATGTAGCTGAGAATCAATTACCTCTGAAGGAGAATGAAATTCTTAGCTCTAGTGATGCAAGTCTGAGTGTCACAGAGAAAAATACAACTTCAGAGAATTATTCTACTGAACAAAGCAACACAGTTTCAGAAAAGAGTGTTTCTTCAAATGATATTTCTGGAAAGTTAAATGCTGAGGACAAAGATGACAAACCCACAATAAAGGAAGCTGATGCAGTTTGTCAAGTTCCTCATTCTTTACCAGTTGATGAATCTATGATTGACAAAAGCACTGGTGAAAGCCCTGAAACTTGCAGCAAAAATTTTGGCAGACGTCCGGGTTTCTTTGCTTGGATTAGCAGCTGGTGGCCATTCAGGAAAAATGGTGGAAACTCAAATAATTTGACTCATCAACCGGATCTGATGCCTAGTAATAATAAAGAGCCCAAGTCTTCAAACCCGAGCGAGGCAACCTGTCATTCTGAAGAGTCTGAGTTGTCAGATCCAAAACAAACAGTTTGTCATTCTGAAGAGTCTGAGTTCAGAGAACAGAAACAAACAATTAGTCACTCTGAGGAGCCCAAGTCATCTGAACCAAGACAGAAAGTGAATTGTTTATCAGAGCCTGAGTTATTTTCTAGTAGTTGCTTTTGGAGTGACATGGAATCTTTTGTTTTTACTGGCAAAGGATCAACTCTGATCACCCGTTCTAAAAGCAGGTTAGTGAGGATAATAGCCATTTACAGCTCATTTGAAGAATTTTACAGTCTCTATGCATTGAGTATTGTGTTTATTGAGTATTTAAGTAATAATATACTACATTATGCTGTTTTGGCAGGAAGGATATGATCCGTAAATTTCAAAAGTTTGGACCGCAGGTTCTTAGTTCTCTTGGCGAAAATGATCTCCTTCAACTGGTCAATATGTTGATATCTGAGAAAAAATGGTTGGAGGAAAGGCCTTCCCTGACTTTTCCTTTCCTGGTCACTCTAGAAGCTCGGAAGAACTCAGTGGGCCTATCACATGGTGCAACTGGCTTGAGATCTCTCTTCCTAAGCAAAGAAGGACGGAGCACCTTGCAAAAATCATCAGAAGGTGACAATGGTAAAAGATATCAGAGTAATCCTGACACTGGAGGTTCTTCACCTGCCATTAAAAATAAGCACACTGAAAAGTCTAGAACTGACACATTAGCGGATATTCAGAAGCTTGTGAGTGAAATATTGAGGGAACACTCAGATGGGTATAATATGTGTATGATACCAAAACTTTTTCTGGAGAGGTATGGCTATCCTCTTGATGTTCAGAATCTTGGTTACCAAAAGTTGGCAAACTTGTTGCATATTCTGCCTGGAGTGAAAGTAGAGTCCTCATACATCTTTGCGGCTGATCATCCCGTTTTTGCTTCTGACAAGGAAATGTCAACTCTCAATACTTTAGTGAATAATTCAAGTGTTACTGCACCATATTCGGATAGGAAGTCATCTGATTCATGCCATAAAGATGATCGCAAAGACTCCCCCTGGGAAGAATTAGGACCTGTCTCAGTCAGCAATCCTAACCAGAGTGACCTGGAGACAAAATCAGGGCAAAAGGCCTTAAAGCTGGAGACGTCAATGCAGCCTGATTACGAACCTTCACTTTCTGATGATGATTCTTCTGAATCTGAAGGAGATAGATCTTGTTTAACTCGATCAGAAGAGGAAGGACGGTCAAAACATAACGTGGAAGACAGCTCTCTTCTGCAAACTCTGGAGTCATTTTACTGTCGCCAAGAAGAGGATAGTGCAGAGTCAGAAAACACTGACACCAAAGGCAATGGCCTGACTGGTGGTTTAGGCTCATCCAAGCATTCCACTCCAGGAATGCTTTCCAAAGTTCATTCAGGGGCAGTGCTTAAAGAGAAGCAAAGACCTCACAAAAGCTATTCATTTGTTGCCGACCCAGACTCACGAAAGAAGGATGAGCTAATTGATGGAATATTACAGAATTTGAGGAAATCAGATGAGTTGAAGATGCGGAATTGAAAATTTCCTGGAGTTCATAGATTCTAAATTGGGATCCTGTCTAGTACTTGAGAATAGAAATAATGGGATTCTAGCGAATTAGGATTACTAACAAACTCGTGGTGGCACGCTCCTTTACATCGCGCGAGTTGCCTATTTTTGCAGGCCATGGTACTAACGATTCTGTGAGAGATGTTTGCTATTATTGAACCATATTCTTTTAATGACACTTCTTTCACTGCTAGATCAAATAGAGGGATAAGGGCACTTTCTAATTCAACCTTTTTAATGTGAAGAAATGAGGAAAAAACCCTCGTTTTACTTACAGACGTCGATAAAATACTTCTGTGCATGCAGCATGTGAGCCACCCTGAGAGGAAGGTTTGTGGATTCCCACCACGCCCTTCTCTGCTTCAGATAAAATGGGCGAACGGGGACAAGCAAGTCAGTGGAAAATGTGTGTGAACCATGAAGGCTGAGGAAGTTATAATGGGAACAAAGAACACCAAACATCAGGCACTTCTTGAGTAACATGTATGATCAACTTCTTTTTTCCCCTTAATTTTTTACTCATTATTTACAACTTTTTGGCAGGATAGAAATTATTTTTACCAACAAAAAACAGATAGAGGGATGAACAGATGCTTTTATTATACAAAGGTGATTTTTGAATTTAAAAATGTGTTTGGTATGTTGAATTTAACCCTTTTGCTGCATTGGATGTTTAGTGTGAACTGTGAAGTAGTCAAGGAAGGAAATAAAAGAATCAAAGTGATCAAATGGCATAAATATTTGCTATTAAAATATTCCAGTTGAATTTTTTAAAAAGGTTAAGGTGTACCAAGAATTTTGAAATGTTTTTCAAGTGCACCACTGTACCAAAGTGTTTTGTGGTGCATTTAATATCTTAAAGTATTTTTTTTCCCAACTATATCTAGCATTCTAAATTATATTTTACTACATCTAATATTCTGAAAATTTTTCAGATGTGTTTAGCATTTTAAACTATATTTTGATACATCCGGCACTTTGAAATATTATTTTAAATTCTGGATCCTAATACTAATATATCTAATACTTATATAATCATAATTATTATAATTATATATAAAATTCTATATAATTTATAATTAATATTTATTATTTGTATAGTTGTACTATATAAGGTTTGTTTGGAATCATGATAAGAATCTTCAAAAACATTTTTAATCATGATTTATGAAATTGAGATAAATATATAAAAAAAGTCTTATTTTTGACCTGTATGAAAGTATTTATAAAATAGTTAAAACAAACCGACACAAAGAAAAGTGAAGGTGTTTAAAAACTATTTGAAAGTACTTTTTTTCCTTTGTTTTTTTAAAGATCAGGTGAAGGAGGATTATTTTCCTTAAGGGTCTATTTGGTATGAGGAAAATTAAAAAAAAAAAAAAAAGAGGAGAGAAAAAAATATTAATGAACTCGATTTAAAAAAATTAAAAAGTGGGGTTATAAACTTTTAATTGAATTTTATTATTCTTTTATCTTGTATATTTTCACCTTTTTTTTAATTTTTAGATTGAGCTTATTAAAATTTTTCTCCATCTCCCCTCCCCAATGATTTTAAAACCGGACCGGACCGGACGGTTAGACCGGTCCGACCGGTGACCGGATAACTTTTCGGTTCATCTTGCATGGTTTAGCCGTTCAGCTAGTTCAACCGTGTTGGGCCGCTTCAAGCCGGCTGTTAGGCCGGTAGTCGGAGTTCACCCGGAAGCCGGAGCGGTTTTTCAAAAACCGAACGGTCGACTTGTGTCGCCTATAATGTTGAAGAAAAATCAAAATCCATCCCCAAAAGCCCCCTTAATCCCCAATCTGTGTCATTGTCTCTTGTTCATTGTTTAGTCTATCCTCCCTTCCTCTCGACATTCAACAGAAAGTGAGAAACTAAGAATTCAGAAGCTCCATTCTCCGGATTTTGACAGTCGCTCTCTCGCTCGACTATGAATGTGAAGACGCAGTACAGTATTCTGCCACTGAATTTCTGACCTTCCATTGCTTACCCATTCAGACAGAGTACGCCGTCGAAATTACTACCTCAAACTTCAAGCCTTGTCATGCGACTCTTCCATTGTTCTCTGCTTTTAAGTTACCGAGTCATGAGTTGCAGGCTTGGAAAGAAGGTGAATAGTGAAATCGGAATGTGAAGGATCAGTTATTGGCGATTTGGCGGAGAAAGGGAAAGTTAGTGATATTTTATATTTATTTATTTTTTGTCTTTTGTGGGATGTGTGAGCCGAGAGGGACCGCCCATTACCCTCTCTACTATTAATTTAAAAAGAAGATCAACGGTGGTTTGAGGGTGAGGTGCCACTATAGTTTTTCTTTAGTTTCATATTTATTGTTAATATTTATATAATTATATAAGTATATAATATTATTTTTTATTTAATTATTACATCACCGGTCCGACCATCGGTCTAACCGGTCTGACCGTATGAACCATGACCCGCTGATCTTTCCGGTTCTATATCCGGTCCGGCTTTTAAAACATTGCCCCTCCCCTACCCTCCATTTCCCTCATAATGAGGTAAAGGCAGAAGCAATGAAGTATTAAATAGGCATCAAATAGATGCACATTCATCACTTGAGTTTGTGAGATGTGATGGTGTGAAGGAAATGGAAGACTGAAAAATTTTAATAAGTTCATATTCAAAAAGAAAAAAAGACAGAAAACGGATACTTTTTTTTTTTGGGTTACAACAAGGTAGGATCGGACTCGCAACGCACACACTCCACACACACACGCATACCACTCAATGAAACAGCCAGTAGAAAAATGATACTTAAATATTGAAATCTTTATTAGGTCATATAAATAATGAAATCCCCCTTTGAGCACACAGGATCAAATTGGAATTTTGAAATCCACTAAAAATACCAAATTGCCCTTTAAATTTTTTTTTTTTTAAAAAAAATCAAGCACCATCATCTGTTGGTGGGTAACTATTTTTTTGGGATTTTTTGGCTTTTTCAATTTCCAGTAATGCAATTAACAAGATCGTTGTAGCATTTAATAACAGGATTTTAGAAGATTTAAAAATTGACATTTTTATAATTTTAATAATGCAATTAACAAATTCTTTAATAATATTAACAAGTTCAATATAACAGTTAATAATAAGTTTTTTAAAAAATTCAAAAAGTGATATTTTTACAACTTCAGTAATACTGTTAATGACATTATGAGAGTTGTTAATATTATTATATAATTTGTTAACCTTATTATTTAATAGAGCTCTAATGACCAGTCGACCGATAAGGGTGCTCGATTTTTTTTCAAATAAAGAGTAATTTGGTCTTTTTAGCAAATTTTAAAATTTCAATTTGGTCATATATACTTAAAGGAAATTTTTCATTATTTAAGCAACCAAACAAAAATTTTAATATTTAAGTATCATTTTCTGTCTTTTTTTTTCTTTAAAGAATTAAAAAAAGAGATTATAAAATTTTAATAAAGAAAATATGTACATTAAAAAAGTAAAAAAAATTAATTACAATTTTTTAGCTTTTAATTTTTTATATTGAACTCATTAAAACTTCCCCCTTCTCTCTTCGCATATAAAACTATTTTAAAATACTAGATGCAACTAAAAAATACTTTAGATGTATTAAGCAAGACAAATCAGTGGCTTTAAAAAAAAAAAGTTCAGATGTAATGATGACTTTGATTTTATTTTTCAGACATAATTTTGCGCCTCATCTTTTTAGTGTTGTTGCACCAAAAGAAAAATTAGGATCAAAATTGCACAACTAAAAAAATTACTGGCAAAATTAAACTTGAGAAATAAAATTAAGATTAAAATTATACCTTAACCCCAAAAAAATAAAGGAACTTAACGATGTCTTTCATTTTTTATTTTTTGGTTAATGAAAAATCGTTTATGCTTTATATAATAACAAATCGTAGGTTATCCCTTGCTCGGCTTGCGCGAGTCACCCAACAAACAAAAAGAGAACTTGAAAAGCCCAAACGAAAACGTAATGCCTTTGATAAAGGCCATGTGGTTGAGGGCGTTGTCATGCAGGAGGAGTCTGATCAAATCAGACCCCCTCGGCTGCCTTCCAATTGCTTACAGAGTTGAGTTTTCAAAATAGACACTATTTTAATTTAATTGCATCACCAACCAAACCCCCCAAAGACAAATTTTAATTCAACCCACCTCTCACTTCCTCCCCTTTATCCTTGCCGCATGCTCAGCCACTACCTCCTGTCTCCAACAAAAATCCTAAATAATGCAAATATCGCTCTCACGTATTCCCTTGAAACACCATCAGAGTGAAGGGTTATTTATAAAAGAAAAGAGATAGATAATGATCAACCGGATTAACTTATGTTTTCCCCGGCAACACCCGAAAGTTCTGTTTTTCTTTTCCTTTTTCTTTTTTTTCCTTTATAATACATGTGATTTGCCACTTGCAGCGAGCAATGTTGTGTGTTTGAGTTTCGTGTTACCGGTGCCTACCCTGAAAACCACCGCCGCCACCTTTGTTCTTTGCAAAGAAGGCATTCTTGGGTCTAGGGATCTCATGGAGGTCCATCACTTGGATCGTTCTTTGTCTTTTGGCTATACACAAAATCACCAATCACTAAGTCAGTATAGCCATTGCCAAACTGGCAGGTTAAGAATATTAACTATCAACCAAAAAAAATCACATTAAATTAGAAATAGTGGTTCCACCATTTTCAGCCTCTTTGTAGTTCTCTTGAAGCCGCCTTCTTGCCGAAGCAAGTCTGTCCGCTTCAAAATTGCTATCTCCCTCTTCTCTCTTTCTCTGCAATCATTTAACCTTGGGTCAGCAGACTCACTACACTTTCCAAAATTCTTTTTTTTAGGGGGAAAAAACCTATGAAAGTAGTTCTACTTAGGTTCCCGCAGAACTAAAACACTGATCTAAATCATGCGTGCTAGTATTTTGACTGCATGGGCTCCCAATTTCTATTTTCGTCCACTGTATTTATGGTAACCAAAATTTAGAGTCAGACTCCAAAATGGTTATCATTCATATTCATACATTTTGAGGAGCAGAAGCAGGCATGGGCACTGGGTTTGCTGGTTTTGGCGGCGCTCTTCGAGGAACTGTCTTTGGTTTTGGTTCAGCTTCTGAGTAGTTTCGGTCTGACCCAGAACTCCAATCTGTAACAGCAGGAAACATAAACAGATTTGTAATTAACAATCAGGTACACAAGATTGAATTGTACAAGCTCTGAATCATATCGACAAATACTATACTTACAGTGCGGATTAGGCGAGGATGCAAAATCAGGAATCTGCAAAGGAAATTGGAGTATTAATTAGAAAGCTAAAAGCAAACAAGCATATTTTCTTGGGCATCTTTCCTCAGGAAAAAAGACACAATAAGTGATTTTTTCCCAACCTGATTGTGCCCGTTCTGGGCGTTTCTCTGCATAGGTGAATCTCCATTAGCTGCCAAAAACATCAATCACAAGTTTATTTTGGTCTGAACATGGTAATATTTACTCAAATTTTTCCAAAAGAAAGATTCAGATTACCAACGACAGAAGCAATATCGCCTGGTTGATTTACCTTCACCCATTCGTCTACAATCTCCTTCCATTTCCTGATCAGGAACAGAATAGTTGCAATTAATACCTCAGATAGTGAAATTTCAACTCTAGCATTTATTTGCTTTACAAATAATTTCAGGATCTTCCAAAACCTGACAAGTAGCTTCACCAATCTCCGAACATCATTGGATGGATGCTTGCGCAACCGATTAACGTGCCTCCCAATATCAGTCTCCTACAGAAGTCCGAATGGTTAAGTAAAGACTAACCGACATTGACAAAACAAAAAGGCCATGCGAACAGGAAAAGAGAACTCGTTGCCGCCAGAAGTTACCTTTAGCGCTTGGAAAGTAATATCCATGTCCGCTAGATTCTGCAGCAACTCCACCACATAATCTTCGGGCTATGAAACAATTGAATAAATTAAGATGTTAATCAAGTGTAAATGGAATATTTAAAGAGTAATTGATATGAAAGGAAGAAAAACGAGCAGCTAAACCTGGTCCTGATCCTCAAGTTGCTCTTTGATCTCTTGAATCTTCTTTTCCTCGTCATCAAAAAGGCCTCCGTAAGGATCTAAATCGCCGTCATCTTGGCCGATAGAGTGCGGCGTTACAGGCGAAGCATCTCTTTTCAGTTCAGGAGAGCTCTGTTTCTCGATTGGAGCTCTTATTTCGTGGCCATTGGACTTAAGACGAATCGCTTCGCAATTCCGACACCGTCCAGGAGCTGAAGTGGCTTCATAGAGACGCTGAACGATTCCATCCCTTCGACGCTTTAACTCGTTGTGATAATCAATGGAAGCCACGTCGATTGCAGTGTCGATGAACATCCATACATCCACACCAGCCGTCTCCAATACTGATCGGAAATCGTCCAAATCCATACCTTTTTCCGAACAGTAAATCTAAAGGTGTAGACCAATGAAAACGACCGAGGAGGAGTTTTCCCCAGAAAAAGAAACGCACAATAATCTATGAAAATTCCAAGTTCCACAGACCACAGCTTTTGAAACAACAGGTTCTGATTCTACTCCATCCGATCTAAGTTAAATGGCGTTGACGAAGTCATGAGGAGGTATGGATCAAAACGGCAAGAACAATGATTGCAGAATGAATACGCGCCAAATGAAACAAGGGAAGGGCGTAGATCTGAGGTATGACCAAACAACAAGGTTGAACTCTGACGCAGAGGAATCCGATAAAATGAGCACAATTTTTCCTGGAAAATTCGTAAGAAGCTGGGGGAGATTGGGAAAGTTTGGGGTAGGAGATGGATGGGTGAATAATGGGAAAAGGAAAAGAGTATATTCCAAAACCAAAATTCCTAATTTCGCCAAGAATTACATAATATTGATGATGGGCGGGGTACGTACATGACAGTGGCGAGACGGCCCATTTATTTGGTGCTTTCAGCCTCCCTCGACGAGTCAGAACAAACTTCTTCCAAGGGAGATGAACCCTCTACAAAGCGAGGCAACTCACCAGAAGTTTAGAAATAAGCTGTTTTTTCTCCTTTTCTACCCCACCGGAATTAGCTCTACTTACACTCCCTTATATAATCTAAATAACTAATTTATAAATATTAAAATAATTAGTTAAATCAGTTATTTATAATAAATAAGTATTATTTTGTTTAAAATATCGTTATTAATAATGTGAATTTGAATAAAAAAGTTTTAACGTGCACAATTACCATGAGAACTACTTTTGAAGAAAAATAAATAAATATGAGAGATGAATTATATTGAGATCTTATATTTTGAGAAATTAAAAAAATTACTAAATTATTTAATTATAGCATATATTTCATAATATATCTAAAATATTTATGTTTATTATTAGATTACATATCAATTTGTAAGTGAAGCAAATTAGTTTAAAAAAATAATAAATATAAATACTATAAATTAATTTACTAATTTTTTTAATATCTTTAAATTAGTCAATCAGGTTTTATTTTAAGGACTGGAGATAATATTTTGGGAAAAAAAATTGCTACTTATAAAATTTATTGACAAAGATACCTGAAATTAGTTTAAGAATTTAAGGGCAATGTACTTCTAGCGATACAATTCTTTTTCAGCTATGCGTAATCTATCTTCAATTATGAGCAAAATAAAAAACATTTACATATAACTAAATATATGTTGCATCCAACTTAAAAAAAGAGTTACACCATCAATTCAAGTGAATACTCCCACTTAAAGATATGGATCTCAGATAACTTCGAGCAATAATTTTTGTAATAGGGAGTGTTTCCAGCAATTTTCCCAATATTTTTCCTTCAATTTTTGGTACAAAAAATTCTGTATCATACATTTTTAACATATTAATATAATATGTTTCCAACTTCCGAAACACAAGAGGGAAAGAATGGAATGCTCTGTCACCACCGGGCTTCAGGAGAAAGATGAAACGCCCTCCACCCTTAGTGATGACCAAATCAACAAAGAAGGTGAAGATATGCAATGGCCCTATACAAGAGGATATTGATATACTACTTCCTGTCCTTAATTTAAGGTCTTATTTAATTTTTATTTTGGTACTAAATATACTCCTCCGGTTCTTATTATAAGACCCAATTTGACTTTTTATTTGTCCTAATTATAAGACCCAATCCATTTTGTCTCTTATATTTATGCATTTTTTTCCAAGATAATCCTTCTAATAATGATAGTTTTAGCCAATATACTTAATTAGTAAGGATATTTTAGGAATAACAACACTTATTTATTATAAATAACCAACTTAACTTACTTCCTTAATATCCTCAAATAAGTCAATTGGGTCTTATAATTAGGACTGGAGGAGTAATACCATAATCTATTCTGTCTTTCATATTTATGTATTTTTTCCTAAGGTAATCCTTCAAACAATGATAGTTCTAACCAATATATTTGACTAGTAAGGATATTTTAGGAAAGACAATACACATTTATTAAAAATAACTAGCTTAACTTATTTCTTTAATCTTCTCAAATTAGTCAACTAACTCTTATAATTAGGATCATAAATAATATATATATATATATATATATATATGCTCTCTTATGATTCTGCCTCACAATCTAATGATGGAATTTTACCAAACAATGTTCGTTGAAGTTGAGGAAGAAGACCTTATATTCCAGGGGAGATATATCTCCATAGACAACTACACACAAGTATGGGCTCTTCCCATGAAAAGATTCACCATTTGCCGAATGAAAGCATAAAGACGTCAGAGATAGAGTGGTTAGCCTCTGGAAGCTCACTAGTTTGGAAGGGAAAGGGAACCGTTTTATTGTGAAGCTAAACAATGAAAGGGACTCCCAAGAGGTCCTTTTGGGATGACCATAATAAGTTATCTTCAGCCACGACTTAACTATACAATCTTGGACAAGTACCTTTTCACCAACTACCCATACCACTGCCTAGTGCGTCGGTTGTGGGATGGATCCGCCAGCAAAGTAAAGTGTTATCTACCCCTTGGAGAAGTCTTAGGCAAGGCCCTCCAAATAGCTTACAACGCCGCCTCGGCGGAGAGAGGGGAAAGATGCCGGAAATATGAAACCTCATAGCAGGAGCAAATGAGAGATACTACCAGACAAGACTCCAACATCATCCACCTCTGCCCCTAATGTTGACTCCCTTTTTGCTAACCGACTCTATAAAACAGAACACCCCACAACGTTAGACCCATGTCTCCGTTGCGCCGTCTCCATATATCCCTAACCCTAAAAGTGACCTCGAGCCCATCTATGAACTGAAATCCATTTGTTAAGTTTTGATGTTAAAAAAATGACTTGTTAATTTGAATTAAAATTTGTTACGGAGTTGTTATTCTCAACTCAATTTCAATGATATTAGAAAAAAATAACTTGTTAATTTCAAGTAAAAAATTGTTAAAATATATTGCAAGTATTTCATGAATTTAGTTTTTCTCAATCTCCCGAAAAAAAAAATTGTTAATCTCAATTCGAAATGGTTTAAATATATTACGATGTTGTTATTTCTAGATCAATTGTACAAAAAAAATATGTATTTGCTGATCACAAGGACATTCTTTGTCATTTTCTCACATTCTCATAATGTCAATTCAGGCTTTTTCACCTTGTCTGTCTTTTGTAGCTGTTAGGTTCTTGACTTGGAATTTAATATTTTCAAATGTATTTTTTGGATCAGTTTTTCAAAGTTTTAAAATATTTCACCTACTGTTATTTGGATGTTTTGATAGACTCACGGGATTTTTTTTTTGGCATTTCGTTATTTACTCATTGTCATCCATATTCTTTCACCTTACACAAAATAATTTATGATGTTTGAGGATAACCTTATCATTCCATCTACCCATAAAAAGGTCGTCTTACGAATAGTTGTCCAAATTTTTTAATGATCACACTCTTTCATTCTATTTATATGCAATCCCAAACACTGATTAAATTATACTATATATAGATTAAACTTGAGATGCGAGGGAAAATAATCATTTTTAAAAAGGCAAAACAAAATGTTCTTATTTTATTAAAAGCAAAGGATCAAACCAAAATTATAAAAACTAAAAAAGAAAACAAAAGGTGTATGTATTTAGTTTTTTACATTTATGGCGTTTGTTTTCAATCAAATTAAGACAAATGATATACTACCTCCTGTTCTTAATACTACATCTTGTTTTTAATATAAAAGTTAGTTAAATAATTTAAGTAGATTGAGAAAATTAGTTGAGTTAGTTATTTGTAATAAATATTTGTTAGCTCCATTAAAATATCCTTGTTAATCAAGTATGTTAGTTAAAACTATCATTATTACAAGAATTATCTTGAAAAAAATAAATAAACATGAGAGAAAAAATGGATTAAGATATTATATTTAGGATCAAAATAAAAGTCAAATGAGCAGAGGTAGTATAAGAGTTAATTAACTAATTTGTCTTGATTAAGAAAATTAGTTAAGTTAATTATTTGTAATAAATAGGTATTGTCTTACCTAAAATATTCTTACTAATCAAGTGTCATTTGATTAAACATTTAACACATGCAACTACTATAAAGACCACCCTAAAAAAATGGATCAAATATGAAAGATAAAGTGTATTAAAATCTTATATTTATGACTAAATTAAAAGTTAAACTAGTTTTTATATTAGTTACATAAAGCAGTATTACAAAAGATTGTACTTTTACGTAGGAGCAAATGTTAAAAAGGTGAAATACATAAATTAATAAGTAGATAATAAGACTGAGGAGATGGAACAAAGGAATCGGGAGGGGAACGGAAAAAGTGGATGCCCTCCTCAACGTTCAGTGCCGCTTTAGCCAATGAGTCCGCCACTAAGTTCACCCCCTACTGCACCAGTCGATGCTTGCATCCCAGTCTTGCTCTAGCAGCTTTCTAATCTCATTTAACAGACCAACCTCAACATGTTCACCATCTCAGCCCATCTCTATTAACTCAGCTTCCCAACAATCAGTTTCAATAATCACCCGGTGCCATCGCACATCCCAGGCTCTTTTGAGGCCCCAAAGAACGCCCCATATATAGTTCTGCATGAAGGCTGCTCCCCAACCCAACACGAAACATAAAACCATCAAGCACCTGTCCATCATGGTCTCTAGCAATAGCAGCACAAGCTACCACGCCGGTCGTCTCAACGCAAGAACCATCCACATTAACCTTAACGCAGCCTACAAATCTAATCCTTTTGTTGAGCGAGATAAAAGCCCTATCGATATAAATATATATATTAAGATATAAAAATTTAACATAAATATTGTCCTATATATTATTTATTTTTTATTCTATAAAAAAACTCTTATTATTAATACTTTAAAATCCACTTGTTTTATTTGATTGGTTAACATTATGCTAGGGAGAAAAGCTAAATAATGGCAAAAAAATAAGGAGAAAAGTTAAATATCGAAGTCTTCTTCAAACTAAAAATATACTTTAAGATGTTTATTTTATACAAAGATCACTTTGTTTTTATATGTAAGTCAATTATACGCCTTTTTACATGTTTAGAAATATATTAAATTAATAAAATTTTTCATACTTGCCCTGCTGAAAGAAAGAATATTAAAAAAAATATGTTGTACATTTTCTCTCACTCATTTTTTGTTGTACTCACTATTCAATAGGGATAAAGCTAAAAAAAAAATTATCATTTATTCTATATAAGTGATTTATATTTAGTAACAGTACAATATGAAATGAATATGTGTTGTCTATATATGGATTAGTTGAAATTCGAGCGTGGGTAGAGGCACGGATATGGCCAAAGTTGCATACGTTTCACCACCGATTATTGAGTGACAGTCTTATGAGATTTTCTTTTTTAAAGAAAACAGAGTAATGTACACTTTTGAATTAATTATAGGAAAATGCAGTATTCCAATTTAGGCACTTAAAACGTCAAAATCTCAAGGAATTAAGTAGTGCCTGATTTAGTATTTTACAAATATAGTCAGATGACTAAAATGTCCTTGT